CCGACGCTCTATCCACTGAGCCAAACCGGTTTTGGCAAGAGATAAGTTTGATAAACTTATATTTTAGCCAGCTAACTGTGTCTTTTAAAACATGGCTTTTCGCCCTAACCAGTTTGACTCAGTGGATAGAGCGTCGGCCTGCGGACTGAAGGGTCCCAGGTTCGATTCCAGTCAAGGGCATGTACCTTGGTTGTGGGCACATCCCCAGTAGGTGGTGTGCAGTAGGCAGCGATGTTTCTCTCTCATCGATGTTTCTAACTCTATCCCTCTCTGTAAAAAAATCAATAAAACATGGCTTTTCAGGATTGGTTGGGAAACACTGCCATTTCGTTCCGTGATGAAGGTGAAGACCCTAGCTGGCACTGGGGGTTTTACTTATGTTTTCTGCATAATCTGTGTTGTTTAATTTTAGGGGAAGTGTGTCTTCTTTCTCTAGACAACCATTTTACACTTTCTCCCCAAACACTGTCGTCATACCAGAGCCTGTGTAGTGCCAGATCCTAAAATAAAAATGCCGAGATGTCACCGTCAGAAGCAGCGTACAGCAGGTGCTGCTGCTGCACTGAGGTTCCTTTTTTCAAAAAACCTTCCAAAGGACTCGGCACCTTAGAAGCCAGAGCTGAGGCTATTTTGCTTTTGAGCTGAACTGGAATTCTCTCGTTGGATTGAGCAAGATTTTCTCCCTTTGCATACTTATGGGACGTGTATGCCACATGAAGTGTGAACTAATTTTAATGAATTCTAAATATATCTGCGCGACTCTGAAATTGGCATCTGCAGACCATTAAAAAAATCTGGAATGTTGTGGTTACTGATTTTATTCTTGCTTTCTTCCCAGCAGCCTGAGAAGGGAGTGACGAAGCAGATGGAGTTCCTGTGTACCCAGGCGGGCTACGAGCGGCTGCAGCAGGCCGAGAGGCGGCTGTCCACGGGGCTCTACAGGCAGAGCTCCGAGGAGCACAGCCCCAACGGCCTGGCCTCCGACAGCTCAGACGGACAAGGTGCCTTAGACCGACCGCCCTGCAGCCCCTGCTGTTGGTGTACTTCAAAGCCACAAAACCTTGCTGGTTTCTAAATCTTAATATTTTTAAGAGATTATCTTACAGATTCTCTACCAAAATTAATTGTCCAATTACAAATTGTCCCTTTTTCAAAAAGGGAAGGCCTTCACTCTGCAAATTTAATTTTTAAAGTTGTGTGGGTTTTTTTTTAACCTTGTCATCCCTAAATAACAGCTGCACATACAGTTGATCTGTATTTTGTAAAGGGTGGTGGGATGGGAGATGTAAATAGTGCAGTGTTCGGGGTACCCACAGGGGGATTGGTTTCAGGTCCCCCTGCAGATACCCAAGTCTGGATGCTCTAGTCCCTTAGATAAAACAGTGTGGTATTTGCAGATAACCTATGTGCACCCTCCCTCCTCTCTACTTCACATCATCTCTAGGTTACTTATAACACCTAATATAATGGAAATGCTATATAAATAGTTGTCACACTCTCCTGTTTAGGGAATGATGACAAGATAAAAAGGCTCCACATGCCCAGTACAGATGCATCCATGTGAGCCGAACTACACACTGCATGTCAGCAACAGCGTCACCTTTCCCCCCCAAATATTTGTGATGTGCCATCGGTCCGCCGATGCGGACCCCCTGGATACAGAGGACTGACTGTACTGACCATTGTTCTCAAAGAAGTGGATTCCCTGGGGGATCTTTATCACTTTTTAAAAGATGACAGCTTCCTATTTTTTATGGGTTAAGAACAGATTTGTCTGTGGAATGTGTGACATTTGGTTCCTAAGAGAATATGCTGAATGCTTCCTAAAGTGTGACAGCACAGAGCGTTGAGGACACGGGCTAAGAATGGAGAGACCTGAAGACGTTCTGTCCACTCTCAGCCTGACACTCCCGCAGGCCCTCTGGAACCTTCTGTGTGGTGTGCCCGTTGGGAAGTGGCCTCTTCAACGCTTAAGTTTAGAAAGCTGTGGTTTATGAGTATTTTTACCATTGTAAAAACCACTTCATTTTTTTTCTTATGGGCACATGAAAATCGGTCATTGTCATCCACTCATTCAACAGATGTGTGTCAGTGCCTCCTCCTCTGCGCCAGGCACGCTCCTAGGCACCGAGCTACAGCAGGGAGCAAGGAGGGCCTGCTGCTTGGAGCTCACACCAGTGGAGGGAGATCACAGGAAGCAAGTGCAGGAATCGGGCCCCTACTTTCGATGGCGATAAGTGCTTGCGCAGAAACAGTAATTTTCTAGGGCTTTTTTTTTTTTGAATCCTCACCTGAGGATATTTTTCCATTGATTTTTAGAGAGAGTGGAAAAGAGAGGGAAAGACAGAGAGAAATATCTACGTGAGAGAAACACATCAATTTGTTGCCTCCTGCAGGAGCCCCAACCAGGGTCTGGGCCGGGGAGGAGCCTACAATGGAAATACGTGCCCTTGACCGGAATCAAACCCAGGACCCTTCGTTTTCAGGCCGGTGCTCTATCCACTGAGCCAAACTGGCGAGGGCGAGGACCTTCTTTTTTATGTTACTATTATGCTTTTCTAGAGAATGGTTACTGTTGTCAAAAGATAAGATTTCTTTCTGAGTGGGAAAGCCGTGTGAAGCATCGTCTAACTGTTGAATAAAATATTACTGTGTCAGCAGGTCAGAGTGGTGGAGGAGAACTCTCTTCCTCTTTTAAATGGAAGGGAACTTTCTAGTTGAGGTCTTGTTTAACCTCTCCAGTCATCCTTGACAGTGAAGACTTCAGAGTTAAGAAGCAAAAGCATTCGTGAAAGATTTTGATGACTAATTTGTCATGCCCGGGTAAATCAGTGGGGGTGGCAGTTTGTGAAGTGTGATAGGTTTAGGTGTATGACAGGACTAGAGGCCCGGTGCACAACATTCATGCACTGGGGGGTGGGGTCCCCTCAGCCTGGCCTGCACCCTCGGGGGATGTCCGACTGCTGGCTTAGGCCCGCTCCCCGTGACCCCAAGGGGGATTGCCCGATTCCCATGGGGAGCAGGCCTAAGCTGGCAGTTGAACAATCCTCTGAGGGGTCCTTAGCACTGCCGTGGAGGCGGGAGAGGCTCCTGCCACCATCACTTTGCTCACTAGCCATGAACCCAGCTTCTGGCTGAGCAGTGCTCCCCCTGTAGAAGCACACTGACCACCAGGGGGCAGCTCCTGCTTTGAGCGTCTGCCCCCTGGTGGTCATTGCATGTCACAATGACTGGTCGTTCCACTGTTTGGTCAATTTGCATATTACAGTTTTATTATATAGGGTATGCTTTGGCATATAAGGCATTTTCACCATATCTGTGATAATTCTGTTTTTCACAGATTTGAAATAGGTTTTGCTGTCATTGTTTTTAATAATAAGCAGTTGGTTTGAGCCATCTCTGTCCCTCTAGTATTTATTATGTAGTTCACGATAGGCCTTGGCAAATGGTCGCACTAGTAAGAAAATGCCTGACAGAGGGGATGTATTATATACCAGAGGTGAGCTTACTCAGAATCTCAGACTTTTGTTTAGTTCGTGAATAGCTCTTTAAAATATCTGGCAGAATTGTAAACCTTGGGACTAGCAAGAATTACCATTTTCCTCCTCTGTTCTTCCACAAACTATATCTCCAACTGTTACTAGATTCTTCTGTGCCTGTGGACTTTTCCTTACTCCTTTCTGAAGGAGTGTTGAGGCAGTTTGTGGAAATTATTTTTAAGAAAAACCATGGTGTGCTTTTAATATTACTCACACTGCTTTCTTTTTCTTTCCATTAGGAGAAAGACCCTTGAATCTCCGAATACCTAACCTACAGAACAGACAGCCCCATCATTTTGTGGTGGACGGGGAGCTGAGTAGACTTTACCCCAGTGAGGGCAAGTCCCACTCATCAGGTGAGAACGGGAGCTGATCAGAGAGAAACACTGAATAAAGCATCTTTACATTCTATTCTTCACCTCCCACTGTCCCTCCCCTGAAAAGGTCATTCCTAACAACATGACTAGTCAGTTTTTCTCCCCTTGGAAGTGAGAGATGACCATAATAATGGCCAGTCTTCTTGAGACCATGGTCTTCCGAAGAGTTGACAGGGAACTCAGGAAGGTTTGAGATGATTTTGATTAGCTATTACATGAGTGGTGACTTTAATACAAAATTTTATACCAAATTATAAATGGCTGGTTTGAGTTATGTAACTGTCTTTTTTCTGGCCTTTCACAATATGAAATGGATGGACTCCATGTTTGCTCTCTGCTAAGAAAACCTTGTGTATCAGAAGCTAAGCTTGTCATGCAGATACATCGTGGAGATGACATTCGTAGTTCAGATGTGAACTGAACTCCATAAAAGGATGCGCTGTTCCTTATTATAGTTAGATGTTTACATATTTTAACTCCAAGGAATTATTCCTTATGAATGAGTTTTCATTCTTTTACTCCTGTTTCTCCCACTTAAATGTCTCATGGTTAGAGAAACTTTTAAAAATAGTGCCATGTTTAAACACAAAAGGTGTTTTTCTGTTTCATTTTTTTCATTGATAGTAAATATTTTGGCTAGTAACTTAGTTGTGTATGAGTGACTGGTTTTATTTTATATATTTTACTTACCACATTGGACCAAGCATTAAAGGAAAGTCAATACGTTCTGTATGATAAATGCTTCACATGCATTTGATGACTTAACTCTCACATCAGCCAATAGAGATATTATCCCAGTTTACAGATGAAGACAGTAGGGCCTTAGAGAGAGATGTAATGCCCTGAAATGGACACAGCTTAGTCATTGGCAGAGATGGAATTTAAATATAGAATCCAGCCTCTTCACAACTCTCCGTAAACATTAAAGTTTTATATGGACTTGCAGCATTATGAATAATTGATACTGTTTGCTGTGGACTTTGGGGGCTTGTTTTGCAAGTTTGTTTGTGTTTGTTTTGTGATCCACTGATTTAAAGTATTGTACACCTGGTGTTTCCCTCTTTATGCAGAGAGCCTGGGGATTTTAAAAGACTACCCTCACTCCGCTTTCACTTTAGAGAAGAAAGTCATCAAAACAGAGCCTGAAGATTCAAGATAGCTGTGATTTTCCCACTATTCCCTGGAAACGGCATCAGTTTTAAGGATAATGCTCCATCATAGAAATAAGCCTTAATAACCAATGTTGCCTCATTCAGCTCCAACAGATTTCATAGCCAAAGCATAAGGACTGACACAGTGGTCTGGAAGCCAGGAAGACAAAGCAACAGCCACAAGAGAGAAAATAGAGAGAATGTTGTAATAGAAATATTGATCCATTCACATTCCTGTGTGAGTCGGTTTATGTGGAAAGGCTTACAAAGTAATACTGTAAGCATTTATTTAAGAATGTACAATGTATTTGTGTAATTTATAGAAATGAAATGTAGATGTTGAGACCTGTTCGGTCCAGTAGATACGGATAGTTTATTTTACTTGAAATTTCATTGTCTACTTTAAGCGTATTTAGCGTAAATATTATATGTCAGAGTTTAGAATCTTTGCAGTCATAAAGAAAGTTTAAGTAATGTAGTTATTGGCAGGGTAGCAGTGACTTTGGAGAAATGGAATTTAGCAAATACCCGGTTTAAACCAAGGAAAATATTGTGGATTTAATATCTGATGAAACTGATTTTGTTTAGTAGGAACTGTGTCATTTATAGTCGTAAAGTGTCATTTTTGCTGACTTAATCAGGCACATGTACACAATTAACCAATACTGGAGTAAAGTTAAAAAGATGAGCAGCGCAGAAGGCAATCTTTCTTAACCTACTTGCCAGATTGCATCCTATGGTCACTACTTAAGCTACGGCAGACATAGGGAGCCGTCGCTGGGACAGAGACCTTGAAACAAGGGGACCGATGTGGACAGGCCTGGACTCGAGCATCACTGTTCCTGAGCGTGTGAGATAGACTGAGACATAGTAGGTTAACCCTAACTGTGACAGGATGGCGACTGTAACGAAGGCTGTACCATAATAAAGGAAGTACCGTTTTATGTCCAGAAACTCTTCTCTACGCACTGGAGTCAGAGAAACTAGAGTATCCCCGGGGGTCTTCCCACCCAGCCCTTCCCAGGAGGGGACAGTCACTACATCACACGTGCAGGCATGTTTCTGTGGCAGTTTAGTTGACATATACTCATTATTTATTTTATAATTTCATTTTTGTACAACTTTCAGATTTGTGAATGCAGGGTTTTTTTTTAAATTCATTTTCCCTTGAAAGTCTGTTTTAATTCCCCCTATTTAATTCCTGGGCTGTGTGCACATACGTGGGGGGCTGTGCTTCAGTGTTCATAATGTACTTGCACACTTATGAGAATTTCACATTGGAATTCATACTAAGAAAACAAATCCTATTAGAAATTTATATTTTTTTCTGTTGGTTTAAGAGGAGAAGATATTAGACAGCTTTACCTGCTTCTTCCAGATTCGTCTAAAGCCCGATATTGCTAAGAGGAGCGTACTGACTTGGAATATGTGTGGGTTTTGTTTCAGTTCTGCTCTAGGTCATAACTGCATAAAAATAATGTCATAATCTGTTCTACTACAACTCCTCAGCCCAACGTTAGATGAAACGTCTGTGCTGGAGTTGTGTTCACTGTCACATAAACAACTGCTTTTCATTCTGATTTGTAGACTAGCTTTACACACAAACACCAGAAAGCAGCTTCTATCTATCAAAGCTTCCCCTCCTACATGTTTTAACTGTACCAGAGCATTCCCCCACTGAAGCAGCTTTTTGGACCTTGCAACTCTGTTGCTAGCTTGAGGTTGAGTACTGTGGTTGTCTTGTTCACTGTGTGTAGAAATAGTATGAATACGATTTAAATAGGTTATTCGATTTTTAATATTAGCCATAGAACTGGTTAGTATCTCAGTAGTTTCATGAAACGTTTCCTGTATTCTAATCGATTTTGAGAAATTCTGTAGGTTTTTTTAAAATTGTGTGTTACGGTTGAAGTTTGTACATTTTAATAAGCAACCATTTTTAAAGATGCTGTAATCTTCCAACTAATATTTATCCGTCTTTCATGGCCAAACAAACTGCATCTTTAAATCCATAAATAAGTTTCCTTAAGTATTAGACTTTTCTGGTCTTTTCAAGTTTAGTGATAAGAGGGAAGCACAAGAAAAATTTCAGTAGAATACAGTTTTTATTTTATAAACACTAATGTATTAAATTTGCTATACATTGAAGCAAATAATATATATTTTTATTTGAATTGTATATATGAATTGGATGTTATAACAGTTTGTGTTGTTTTTTTCATTGTGTTAGAGGTATTTTCACTGAACAAGGTCAATTGGTTACCTCGGTATTACCGCCAATACAGCCCAAGGGGCCATTTCTCCCTCCGTCGGCGTGGTACTTTATCATGTGAAGTCTGCGTTTCTGTGACTCTCAGCTGTTGGTGAGGCGGGTGAGTGCCCCCGCATCCCGTGGCAATAAAGGTTTTGTGCCTCACACGTGTGTGTTTATAGAACTTTCTGCACTGCACTGTCCCTAGCAGGTGTACTGGCTCCTCTGCCTCCCTCTCTGGGTACCTGGGCTGGGCCTGGGACTCAGGGCCCAGGGGCTGTGTCTTCAGTCAAGACTAAAGGTCCTTCTCCACTGCCCGTCACTGCCAGAGAGATTGTGGCCAACAGGTGCTCAGTCGACTCTGGCCTAGCAGAGAGAATTTGGTTTGTTCTCACAAGAAGTTTACAAAGCCATTAAAAAAACTATAAAAAACAATACTGTATTTAACCAACTAAATGTTTAATAAATGAGAGGACCATCAGGATTTAACATTTATAATATACTACTGTTGAAAGTTACTGTGGCTTGGCTTCAGTATTACAGGCTGCCTCTATGAAATGGAGCTAACCTGTGGTAGAAAATTGGCAAAAGCTTTGCAACGAAGTTTTAATTGATGCGCTTCATAGATTAAAGAAGAGCTGCAGTGTGTCAAGCACTGTGCTAGGCGCTGTGGTGAGGGGGGGCCACCAGAGAAACCTAAGACATGATGCTTGCCCTTGGGCAACTCCGTACCTGGTAGGATTGTAACTAACACCACTCAGATGAAACTACCAATGTGTGTGTGGCGTAGACTTGGGATGGATAAGGAGCTGACACGTGAGTGCATTCGGTGTTTCTGGGCACGTTTAGTGAGTGAGACTTGCAATAGATGGACCAGGATGGAAACAGTTAACAGAAGGCTTGGGGTCTGATTTAAAGCCAGAGTGGTTGTGCATTTCACCTTGAGGCCACTTAAAGGAAAATCATTGCTGTTTTATTTTGAAGCTGAATGCCAGTTAGATCTTCTTACCAGGATAGTAGTTCTTTTGATAGTCTCACTGAACCTGTCACATGGCAGGAGAAAAATTGGCTTTTTCCTGTCCTTAGTTAGTGAAACCACTTGGGTAAAAGCTTTAGAATGCTAGCACCTAGCAGACCTTTACAATTACAGTTGACTAGAGGCCTGGTGCACAAATTCACGCACGGGTGGGGTCCGGCTGGCCAGCCCTGATCGGAGCCAATCTGGCCAGGGGGAGGGGCCATGGGTGGTTGGCTGGCCGGCCCCACCCCCTGGTCGAACTCCCAGTTAAGGGAACAATTTGAATATTAGCCTTTTATTATATAGGATAGGATGGGACTAAAGACTTAAAACCTAAATAAGCGTGCATGGAATTTCCTAGCATATGGCTTGCTGGTTGACTGCTCAAATGTTTATGCGTTATTGGCACAATGCCTGTTTTGCTTATGACTACTTAATACTGCACTGTCTTCAAGAGAAAATGAGCCAGCGTACTAACCTAATGGAACTAGGAGGTCTAGCTCTTATGGGAAATGAATGCAGTTAGTAAACAGCTGAAGTTAGAACTGCACAAATGTCCTGAGTTACCAGTTTGAAGCAGATGACCAAATATGGCAGCTGCTATTTAACTAAAAAACCACCTAATGGTCCAGCTGTGTGATGGGTGGTGGGTGGTTCAGGGAATCCAAGTTTATTTGTTCGTTATTATCTTTGGGTGTCTTTGTAAATGAAATTCTCAAGTGGGCCTGCAAAATTAATAAAAGAATGATCTAATGTCCAGAAATTTATTTTTATTGCAAATATGTTTAATCTCAAAAACCTTGCTGTTAAATGTAGGACTCTGTGGTATGAACCTTATTTTACCCAGAAATCAAAAGCTGAATGGGAGGGCTAAGAATTTTTTAATTCATTATTTTGAATATGCAACAATTGCAGCTTTGAAACCTCTTTTCTGGCATCTGTTTCTGCTGACCTATGAAAACAAAAAAATAAAAAACACCTCAAAGATGTTTTATTTTTCTGTTTAGAAAAAAGTCAGAATTTATTATTCAAGTTCAACTTACAAACCTATAAGTTTAGCAGATTTTATCCACCACTTTTATGGGAACAATGAATAATGATTTGTTCCATTTACAAAATTAGTTGATTAAGCTCCTTTATTCTTTCATATTCTTCCTGTGTTTTAGGGGCCACAAAGTTTTTTATTATGAAAACAATATCCTGTTGAATTCCGGGTCTCCTGGTTGTGTCTGTTTGGTCACAGTTCCCCAGGTTATTCCTCTGATAGCTAAACAATGCCCTCCCAAGGGATCACTCAGCAATGCCGAAGGTTTCACCTTTACAGTTCATCTCAGAGGAAACTCCCCAACAAGGAGCTCTGGAAATGAATCGCACGCAGTCCTCATCCTGGTTTTACTTCAGCCTTCATATAAAATGTTAGTGAGGAGCCTCTTTTGTTTCATTGCCTGATTCAAGACACTTGAGTGAGAAAGTGCCTCTGTCTAGTTTTTTTATTATACAATTGCTGTCTATAAATTTTTCAGTGTTAACGTCTTAAAAGAATTGACTTCACAATCTGGGGGAAACAGTGAATTGAATGCCGCCATCAAACAACGTCGCAGAATGCAGGTTGAGTACATATAACACCGCTTCAAGATGGTAGTGTGCACACAGCTGTTAAAATCGCCCCTGAATTGCTCTCCTCAACAGGTTTTGTGAGTTTCCTGGTAGTCCAAACAACTTGGCAGCGACCCAGCCTGGTGTTGCTGTGGGTGAGCACCAGTGACGGTAGAAGTGAGACTGCGCTTCGTATTTACACATTCTGAAACCTTGTGAGTCATCTTTGCATTGAAAGTTTGCACCTCACACATTTACGGTGAAGTACCAGGCTCACCGCCCACACAGCGCTAAGCAAGCACACGCGCTCTCCTAACCGTCACAGACACCCCTGCTGCCAGGTCACTCGGGCTGTAGTCTGTAGGAAGACATGTAAGTAGCACATACGTGGGTGGAATCTTACCAGTAACTGGCTCAGCAGAGGCGATTTATAATTTTCTGAGACTACCTGCCACCCTCAGCTGTGAACTGTTAAACCAAGCATCTGTGGTCCAGCCCATACCCTGCTATCTATTATCCTTCCCAGAAGACAAAGTGATTTGTTTGGTACCATATTCTCGTCCTGGAGGCCCTTCAGATCTCCTCCTCATTTAGTTGTTTCCAAAAAATACAGCGGACCCTGAACAACACTAGTTTGAACTATGTGGGTCCATTTATACACAGATTTTTTTTTCAATAAACACTAAATGTATTATGATTTTCTTAACATTTTCTTCTCCCTGCCTTTATTGTAAGGATTCAGTATATAATGCATGCAACACAAAATATGTGTTGATTGACTATGTTACCAATAAGATTTCCAGTCAACAGAAGGCTATTATTAGTTAAGTTTCTGAGGAGTCAAAAGTTCTATGTGGGTTTCTGATTATGGGGGTCAGCAGCCTTAACCCCCATTTTGTTCAAGGGCCAACTGTACACACTTTCTACCCTCAGGTCCCTGACAACATAATGGAGGGATGTTTTTCATCAACAGTTAAATTGGATATCCTTTTCCTTTCTGAATTCAGCTGTTTTCCTATCAGAAAGAACATGCCCATATAGTGATGGTGTGAATTTCTCTTGCATGCAATGGCTAACTCTCAAATTAGACCACATCTTTCTGACTTTTACTGATGAGAAGACAAGACAGCTCACATAATGGATAGACAGATAGCACTTAACTCAGGGTACTTAAAAAGCAAGTTGGTTTTTTTAAAATTAGCATTTCAAAATGAAATAATGTTGTGGTTACCTAATTTATTCAAAGATAAGAAAAAATACATTTAAAAGTGAGAAGAAATAAGGATCTCACTTCCCAAGATTTTAAGAATGATAGGAGAAACAAGTCCCTTTCTTCTATGCTCCCTTGTTAGAAAGATGAGAACTAGCTCTTTATAAAGCAAATGACCTCAAATGGAGGCTTATCCTCTTACTCTGGGAATGAATGTAGTGGGGCTAACCATCCACCCTCCCCTTCCTCGCCTGACCCGCCTGCTGACACTTCCTCCTCTGCAACTCCAGGGGGTAATTCTCCCCCATTTGGCAGAGAAGACAGGTCTCTGGTTGGGCAGTGAGTCATCACACCGCTAGTAGGTAGTGATGGGCCAGTCCACTTGTTTGATGCCAAGGTCCATGTGCACCGCGTCCTATAAAACTTCCTTTGAATGAGTGGCCTGCACTGTGTGAACATTTCACACTCGAACACAGTGGACACTTTCACATGCAGACAAAGCCTAACTAGATTCCCACACAGACACCACGAGGCTCTCTGCGAGCCTTGGTCAGCCGGTTAGTGGTTAGTGTGTCTAGATTCCAGCCGACACCCCCTCAAGGAAGTGAGTGCCACGCCACTGTCGAGCAGGTCTGTACGCAAGGCAGTGCAAGGATCAGCGCTGCTTGGGGATGAGCGTGTGGGAAAGGCCCAGGCAAGAGAACAGAAAGGTCACATGTAGGTACCACCGGGAAGTTTAATGGACTAGAGCAGAGAATTCAGGTCAACGAATCAGAGATGAAACATCCAGAAAAGAGAATGCCCACTAGATGAAATCCTTTGAAACGCAAAGTTCTCATTTAATTTGGGGAGCAGTTAGAAGCATTTGAGGAGAGGAAACAGTCCAAAAATGTTTGGAATGTGAGGACCAAGATACAAGTTGGATCCGTAACATAGGGATTCTCAGCAGCTCCCGAAGGGCTTGATTCCGGCTCTGAAGGAGGAAGCAGCAACGGGAAGTTTAAGTGAGAAGTGACTGTTGCAGTGCCCAGTCTTCAGGTGGCCAACCTGAACTTGAGCTGTGAGAATAAGGACCCGGGGAACAAGAATGAAGCTATTCATTCATTCATTCATTCATTCATTCATCAAACATTTGCTAAACCACCTGCTTAAAAATATCCAGGCACAAGGAACTGGAGATACAAAGATATCGCCCCTGTCCTCAAGGGACACTGTCTAGACAGCGATT